TCTGGAAGCAGTAAGTAGCTTTTTGGAAAGCTTATCTCTTTTCCAAACAATTATTAAAGTCTTTGAAAGCAATAAGTAGTCTTGGAAGCAGTATTCCGCCTGTCCAAGTAGGTCAAAACCTTTAAGAGCAGTGTTTAACGTTCTGGAAGCAATAGGTATTATTTTGAAAACAGTATCTAGTCTTTTCCAAGTAAGTTGTGGTTTTTTTCTGCAGTATCTAGCATTTTAGAAGCAGTAGGTAACTTGTTGGAATATATATTTCCTCTTTCCAAGCAGTTTTTAGTCTTCTCATAGCAGTAATTGGTCATTTGCCAACAGTATCTAGCACTCAGGAACCATTAAGTTAAAGAGTGTATAGATTTTAGGTTACCTTTAGTTTACACCATTAGGTTCTCTACCAAAAAACATTATAGAAGATCCCGTTGGTCAGCACCCTAAAATAAACGATCCCTTGAGATGTCGTCAATGCCACATGAGAGTTAGGTGGCGATGCGAAAAATGCAAAGTGACGCCATGCACGGAAAAAAGGGATTGCTTTAAAACGTTTCACTTTCAAACTAAAATGAATTAATTTCATAAAAGAAAGATATTGGGACATTGTAATTAAAATAAATGATGAAATCTCTGTCTTAGGATTGTTAGGTCATATTGATGTAATTTTGGAAATGCCTGATTGATGTAATAATGGGTTAATATGTTTTATTCTTTTTTTACAAGGTTTTTTCACCATGTCGAATCTTACTACTCACTGCCAAGGTGCCAACTCGGGTAAATAAACTTTAAATCAAACAAAATAAGTTATTTAATTTAAAATTTTTTTGTAGATTGACTGCCACTTCCATTACTTGGAAGTACAAACGTTAGAAAGCAAACGAGGTAATCAACTCAGTATAACGGTTAATGATAAAATCTACTCATTTTTGGCCGGCGAAGACTCCTCCTGTAGCACTGAAGTGGATAATATGATATCGGCGCTTGCTACGGCAGTAAGAAACATATTTCCTACTGTTCCTTTACAGTATATTATTCGGAAGGTAAATTATTTATAATTTAATCATTTGAAAAGGTTTGCGTGGCGTAACCGCACAGATCCGCCTTACTTCATATTAAAATCATTTTAATTTTTATCAAAAAGGCGTAAAAACTTGTTACTATGATTTATGTTACTATTTAATATAAAAATAAGTTCCATAAATTTTTATTAAATACATTTTTGAATAAAGTTTAAACGTCAATGTGACACAAATTCAATGTCACCAACTGTAACCAACTTCACAACAATTTGTCAAAATTAAATGTCAATTTTATGAAACGTCATATTTTTGTACGAAAATTAATTTATGCTTTAATCATACGAAAATAGTTATTTTTAATACAAGATAGCGAAATGACACTTTTTATGCGAGCTTTAGCGAGCAAAAAATTGTTCGAGATAATGTTATGTCAAAAACTTAACGTCACATCGACTTAACCTCACATTTTGAACAAATGTACTATTATAAATTTGCATTTAAATATGAAATGATAAAACAATTAAATGTTGATTATTTTGTGTTTATAATTTGTTCATAACAATAAATTAACAATTAATAGTATCAAATTCTTTGAATTCTTGTAAACTACTTTCGTAAGACACGCTTGAAATGCACGAATTAAACAAAAATAATAGTATATTACAGTACAAGTGAGGAAACTATGATTTTTCATTAACGCGTATGTGGGATTTCCACACGAGCCGAAGGCGACACTTCAAAAACAAAATTTGTATAGCCATACCCCAACGCCGATAGTTAAAATATTAAGTTAAGTAATTTTTAATCAATCGATGGATTAATTAATTAAGAAAGTATGCTTCTTTATAAGCAGTGTTCATGTGCAACAAATTATTTGCCCAATTATTTAATTNTAAGTTAAGTAATTTTTAATCAATCGATGGATTAATTAATTAAGAAACATGTGGTTTCTTTATGTGCAACAATTTATTATTTAATTTGTCAATTACCACTAATTGAATGTAATACAATTATGATGTAAAATAATTTTAGCTACATAGGTGCTTAGTAGTGTCTAATTATGTTCAATAGTGACATAACATTTTTTTTGTTAGATTGATGTAATACCCACATCGAGATTACAAGTTTTAAGAGACATCGAAGCCGTTGGAAGTAACATAAGGGAAGTAGGCCCATGCGGAGGTTTTTCAAATCAATATGCTTGCATGTGCGATTACCACAACATGCCGTATCGAGAGGAAGTCGCTTGGGACGTCGACAATATTTATCTTTCTCTAAACACTAGGGAGTTATGCCTTAAGGATTTTGATTATTTAGATCAAAAGTAAATATTCAATTATGATTTAATAATATTGATCAAATTATTTTTTTTTAACAGAGATTTAGTGCCTATTATAAACGCATTGGAATACAATACATGGTTCACAAAACTTAGGGCTAACCATGTACGATTATCTCACGATAACATCGAAAAGGTGCTTCAAGTGATCAAAAAATCGCTTAGTTTGGAAGAGATTTATTTAGATAGTTTAGGTTTGAAGTCGTGTTTTGTGAATAAATTGCATAATGCTATTAAAGGAAACGCTATTATTCCTTTAAGTATTATTGATCTTTCAAATAATCCAATTGAAGATAAAGGTAACCTATAAAATCAATTATGTACATTAAAACCTCGATATAACGG